ACTCGACCCGTCCTCCTACTAAAATTACAGAAAGAGCGGCGGCGCCCTACAGTCCCAGCTACTCAGAGCTGGAGCAGGAGAATGCGTAAACACCGGGGAAGCGAGGTTGCAGTGAGCGAGATCTGGCACACTGCAACTCCAGCCTGGTGACCAGAGTGAGACTGCCGTCCTTCATACAACAACAACAAAAAGATGTCAGACATCAAGGATCAATGAGAAGAGACCCTGAGGCTGCGAGAGAGAAACTGCTTCAAAAATGGATTCGGCATCAGCCCAATGACTAGGGGATACAGAATGGAGCCAACTCTCGGCATGCAACACTGATATACTTAAAATATAATATCTAAGGCCTCAATAGTTCATGCAGAGAATGTTCTATTCCCAGTAGAGTCAGTCAAGTGTGGAGTACAGGCAAGACTATTTTCAGTTGTACAAAGGATGAAATATGAAAATGTGACTGCTGGATTCACCTTCTGAGAATTGCAGCAAAAGAGCAAGTAAAAATTCTAAAAAAGAAGGGCGCGGGCGCGGTGGCTCAAGGCACTTTGCATCAGTTCTCCATTTGCAACTTTGAAGGCCCGAGCGGGTGGTATCACGGAGTCAGTGAGATCGGAGACCGTGGATGATCCTGGGGCTAACATCTGGTGAAACCCATCTCTACTAAAAATACCAAAATTAGCGGCGGCGTGGCGCCCCCTGTAGTTGCGCCAGCCTACTGCCGGGTGAGGCTGAGGCAGTGAGAATGGCGGGAACCGGGGCCGGTAGCTTGCAGTGAGCGCTGAGATCTCTGTGCCACTGCAACCTTCAAGCCGCGGGCGGAATCTACGCGAGACTCGCGTCTCAAAAAAAAAAAAAAGATATAGCACTTGGGATCCAGGAGTCAGTGGGATGCCAACGAAGGGTGGACGGGTTGAGAGTCAGTTCCGAGAATGACAGCCGTTGAATTATCCAATGCCCTGCAGTGACAGTGCTCATTGTGCTGACACGGCAATTTAAGCAGTTGTCAATGATAAGCGGAGAACTGAGACTCACCTGTCTGATGGATTGACCCCGCAAATATACATATCATGGTACCAGTACGTTGGAGTGTATGGAAAAGATTCTCAATAGGTATGTGACTGATTTGGAGCACTTAGATTTATAGAAAAGTAAACATAATTAAAATGGCAATTAAAAATTCCAAGAAAAATAAAATGTGGAAAGGATGTATGCGGTATTTGGTGCAGCAGTGAACAATACTTGTGCAGTTAAAATGTTCATAATTAAATTCTGAGGCAGACACTGTTAAGAAAAAATAATAAGATGTTAACAATTATTGATTTAACCAAATGTTATAATAAGCATTGTCCTAAATGTAGGGAGTATGGCAGGGGGACATATTGTAGTTGGGGAGTATGTGGGGGGAACGTACCGTGGCTGGGGAGTATGTGGGGGGAAGGTACCGTGGCTGGGGAGTATGTGGGGGGAAGGTACCGTGGCTGGGGAGTATGTGGGGGGAAGGTACCGTGGCTGGGGGGTATGTGGGGGGAAGGTACCGTGGCTGGGGGGTATGTGGGGGGAAGGTACCGTGGCTGGGGGGTATGTGGGGGGAAGGTACCGTGGCTGGGGAGTATGTGGGAGGAACGTACTGTGGTTGGGGGAATTGGTGTGTCTGAGTTAAATTCTCTTCTGCCACGGTGGGAAGACAGTAGATAGTGTCCAGAATTGCTTTTGCAGAGGAGAAAAACCAACATTGTTTTAAAACATGGAGATGGCTACCAGGGCAAACAGTGAAAAGATTGAAGAAAGTAACGAGAATACCGGGAAAGGGGAAAGGGTGGGCGGGAGACTGGTGGTTTACATTAAAGCCTTTCAGAACAATTTGAAGTTTGATAGCTTAATTGAGATATAATTCACACACCATATAATTCACCAACTTTCCACGCAATGGTTTTTAGTATACTCACAGAGCTGTGAAACTGTCAACAACCTAAATTTAGAATATTTTGTTTACTGACAAAACTGTTACTCCCCCTTCTCTACCTTCTCTCCTCCTCTCCCCTCCCCACAACATCCAGCCCAAGGCAGCTGCCAATTTCTTTTCTATCTCTAGATTTTCTTATCCTGGAGGTTTCCTTCAAATGGAATCATACAGTGTGTGGTCTTTTGTCTCTGGCTTCTTGTACTTAGAATGACACGTCCACGGTTTGTCCACGTTGTAATCTGTTAGAATTTCATTCCTTTTTGGCCAGGCGCGGTGGCTCATGCCTGTAATCTCAGCACTTGGGGAGGCTGAGGCAGGTGGATCACGAGGTCAGGAGATCGAGACCATCCTGGCTAACACGGTGAAACCCCATCTCCACTAAAAAATACAAAAAATTAGCCAGGCGTGGTGGCAGGTGCCTGTAGTCCCAGCTACTCAGGAGGCTGAGGCAGGAGAATGGCGTGAACCCGGGAGGCGGAGCTTGCAGTGAGCTGAGATCGGGCCACTGCACTCCAGCCTGGGCGACAGAGCAAGACTCCGTCTCAATAAAAAAAAAAAAAAAAAAAAAATTTCATTCCTTTTTAAGGCTGAATTGCCCGTTGTAAGGATAGACCACATTTTATTCAACCGTTCATCGGTGGATGGGCGTTAGGCTGTTTCCTCTTCGTGGCTATTATAAATATGCTGCCATGGAAAATTCATGTACGAGTTTTTGTGTGGACATGTTCTTTCTCTTGGCTATTTGAGGTTTTAAACTGGACTTGTATTCCTTTGAAAATATTTGAATTAAAAATTAGAGGCCGGGCACAGTGGCTCATGTCTGTAATCCCAGAGCTTTAGGAGGACAAGGAGGAGGGATTGCTTGAGGTCAGGAGTTTGAGACCAGCCTGGGCAACATAGCAAGACCCCATCTCTACAAAATATATAAATCTAAATGAATAAATATTAGAAAGGTACTGAAATGTTAGCGGTAGTTAGGTGATATTATAAATATAAAATTCTCTAACTTGAACATGTTACCATTAACATCAGAAAAATAAGATAAAAAATATGCAGTATTGCGTTTTCATAACACCAGCTTAAACGGTGCTACCATTTTAGGAAAGCAGAACCATGAACTATGCTTACAGGCATTTGTTGACATTCTCCTGTCATGTTTTAAAGCTAATTATGTTAATGGTACACTCCATCTTGAAAATATCACCAACGTTCAGTGAATCTAAAATTTGGTCTTGGGTCTTGTGTGCTAGGGCAAGTAAAAGGCTATGCTCTGTGTAAAAAACAATTTAAAAACAAAGTAATATTCTTCAGCACTAAAAACACGTTGATGAAGACGAGCATAGAGCCACAGCATTGGCAGAAGAGGGTGGCAAAGGCAGCCACAGATGTGAGTTGGCTAAGGTTTTGTTTTATAAACCAAATAATAATATCCAATAATAATCCCTTGTTAGTGTTAGCAATTAGGATGTCTGACTCTAGCATATTACACCAGAGTGACTTTCCTTGGATTTGCCTCCATATAACCAGAAAAATCCACCATCTTATTTAGCTGCAACATGATTTTGTAATCATATAAACATTTTGGTATGAAAAACAAACATTATCCTAAAATAGAGACGCTGAGAACTTCCATTTGGGGGAGGGGTTCGGAATGAAAAAATACAATCCCTTAGAGAAGGGATTCAAGAATACGTACCTGGTGTTCTTGATGTCTCCCCTGGTTCTCAATTGCTTGAAAGAGCTCCTCACACACAGTTGGAATAATACCCTTGTTTGCACCAAACCCAATCATGGAATAGCTTTTCCCGGAGCCAGTTTGGCCGTAGGCTAGGAGGGTTGCATTATACCCTTGCCAAGCGCTGTCCAGGATTCCCCTGCCAAGGTCGTGGAAGACGTCTCTCTGGAAAGACGGCAGGTGGCGTGGCCAGCACAGTCAGTGGCATGCAGGGCTCCTCTTCCCTGCTTTCTCAGTCCTCTTAAATGCGAATAAACATCCTGGCTTTCAAAAATCCCACCTCAATTCATACCATACGACCTGCTTGAAATACAGCTCAGATGCAGCTTAGAACAGGTGGAGTGAAACTGAAAACAAAGGGATTTGTCGACTTGGAAAACACTGATCATTTACCTTCACGGATCACATCGGGTACATCCTGAACTAGCTAATCCCCATGGGCCATGAAATTGCGGACTTTACAGCCTTGCCAAAACATGGGCCAGGTCTTTAAAGTTAAGCAATTAGATAAAAATGTCAAGGCACAGAAACCAGTCAAAGCATTTTCGACTACTTTATTCGTTAACTCAAACAATAACATCACAATATAGCCACACACATTTTAGTCCTCTCTGGTGACGTCTCCTCTTTTTCTACTCTTTCCAGTGGTTCTGAAACACACACACGTGCATCCCCCTTTTTAAAGTTAAAATAGAAATGTTTGTGCCCACAGTTGCTGAAAGAGAGGGGATGTGATCTGGCTCCTTTTACCACCTGGGCTGCGGCCATAGACTGCAATAGTTCTCTTACTTGAGGCTGTTTCAAAGCGTGTATTTCTTCCTACTCGCTAATAGCAATGGTAAAGCACTAAGCATTAGATATTCCATTTATTACAATATATACATTTGTATAATTTATTTCATGTGTCTGGGGAAAATGCACACACCAACGTAGTGTGATTTACCTGAGGACAATAGACAATAACCAACGTTCACGTAATATTTGAGAAAGGGATAAAAATTCTTCCACCGAAAGGGTTAGGGGAGCTGACTACTTTTGCCCTGGGTCCTGAGATGGTTGAACACCAGGGGAGACAAGCTGAGAGGACCTGCCTTTTTGGGGGCTGAGGTGGGCAGATGACTTGAGGTCAGGAGCTCGAGACCAGCCTGGCCAACATGGTAAAATCCCGTCTCTACTAAAAATACAAAACTTAGCCGAGTGTGGTGGCACATGCCTGTAATTCTAGCTACTTGGGAGGCTGAAGCAGGAGAATCGCTTGAACCTGGGAGGTAGAGGTTGCAGTGAGCCGAGATTGTGCCACTGCACTCTAGCCTGGGTGACAGAGGGAGAGTCCATCTCAAAATAAATAAATAATAAAAAAAAGAAAATTACTTTTCATAAAAATATTTTTATATTATGTATGTTTACTAGTAATGGATTTTTAATGTGTTTATTAACTGATGTTAATAAAACATCACCCTGTGTTTGTAACAAACCCTGGGCTCCAGGGTTACAATAGATTTCTTTAAAATATTTTATTTTCAAATATTATATTACTTCCTATATAATGCAAAATCTTAATATACTTCTGGTACCTGTCTCCTTTTTCTAGTGTTGTCATATTTTATTTCTGTATTTGTTTTGAATCCTAACAGAATTTATTATTCTTGCTTTGACAATCAATGATCTTTCTGAAAGATTCAAAATTAGAAAAAACATTTCTTGGGCACAGTGTTCTAGGTTGAGAATTTATTTTCTTTTTTTTGAGGTGGAGTCTCATTCTGTCACCCAGGCTAGAGTGCAGTGGTGCGATCTTGGCTCCCCGCAACCTCCATCTCCTGGATTCAAGCAACTCTCCTGCCTCAGCCTCCCTAGTAGCTGTGATGACAGACATGTGCCACCATGCCCAACTCGTTTTGTTTTGTATTTTTTGGAGAGATGGGGCTTCACCCTGTTGGCCAGGCTGGTCTTGAACTCCTGACTTGAAATGATCTACCTGCCTCGGCCTCTCAAAGTGCTGGGATTACAGGCATGAACCACTGCTCCTGCCCAAGCCTGAGAACTGCTTTCAGCTCTGAAGTCTCTCCCTTGTGTTCTAGCTCACAAAGTTCTGACAGTGTATCTGCTGCCATTCTTGTTGTTCCTCCACCTTTTCTCACTTGTTTTTAAGATGTTATCACTGGATTATAGCAATTTAATTAAAATGGGGCTTACTGTGATTTTCCTTGTGTTTATTCTACTTAGGACTCATTGCTCTTCTTAGACCTGTGGGTTTGTAGTTTCCATCAAATTTGGGAAAATTTCAGCCATAAATTCCTCAAGTGTTTCTTGCACACCCCCCCCCTCCCATTTCTTCTGTGACTCCAGTGACGTGTGGAGTTTAAGATTGTCCCACAGGTCACTGAGGCTGTGTTCATTTCCTCCCCGTAACTGTTTCTCCTTGTCTGTCCAAACTCAGCCTAAACATCACAGCCTTTATTAAACCATTCAGCAAATATCCTGTCTAGATTGAACGACCACCTCACCTTCGTACCCTGCTGTATCCCATACATCTGATCACGGAACCTGTCACATCTGAGTGCACTTTTCTTGCCTCTCTCCCCAAACCAAATTGTGAGCAACTTTAAGGCAGAACAGTGCACAGCACATGATAAATGCTCATTAAAACAGAAGTTCTCAGATGCTCAGTGCCTCATACAGTTTGCTTATTTTGCTTGTCATATCATGCTTTTTTCAAGGTATGTCAGTACGTTGGCAAATGAACTGATTTGAGTATCTAAAAATTACTTAGGCAATAGCTGTAGTTTTGGACCTCATATTCAGCATAGAAAAGGAGTAAATTTAAAGTCAAATTCTCATGTGGAAGCATGTATTTATGCTTGCATAAAATTATTGTGCTTTCACACTGTGAACACATCATCAAAAATAAAACAACAAAAAACTGACAGTGAAGCTGTGTTTTAAAGCAACTTACCTGGCCTGCAAATTTACTACTAGGGTCAGCTGAAATAAGGACACCATCTTTATCCTTTTGAAATCCATCGTGAGACCAATACGCCAGGTCAAAAGTAAATGTCTTCACATGCTCTGGGTTCTTAGGGTCCTGTATAGTGGTGGTGGTTCTGGAATGCATGGAAATCACACATTTGCTCCCCGAATTCTTCTCTCTCTACAGTCAAATTACAAATTCAGAGTCAATCATTCCAGTGTCTCTTTGTTATCCAAGTTCGTTGTTTTGCAAGTCTTCATACCTACTAAGAAGTTAAGCCAGAAACGTACCCTCCCCTCAGTTTGTTCTCTAACTGTGTTACTTCTAGCAGTTGTTCCGACAAGCAGTTGTTCCTGCACTCCCTCGGAATTTCTGAAAGGCTGTCTCTAGTCATACTAACTTTCTGAGAAGAGCTGGCTCTCTAACCCCCAACTATACTAATAACAATAACTACAGTAGTGGAGAGACTGAATTCCTGCATAACTGGTGAACTCCTCAGTAAAACTAGTGAAAAATTATCAATTAAAAAATGAAAAAAAAAAACCTTTTATTTTTTTATTTTTTTATTTTTTATTTTTTTATTATACTTTAAGTTCTAGGGTACATGTGCATAATGTGCAGGTTTGTTACATATGTATACTTGTGCCATGTTGGTGTGCTGCACCCATCAACTCATCAGCACCCATCAACTCATCATGGTGGATCATGACAAACCCACAGCCAAGTATAATCATTGTGAATGGGCAAAACTGGAAAATTCCCTTTGAAAACTGGCACAAGACAGGATGCCTCTCTCTCACCAGCTCCTATTCAACATGAGTTCTGGCGAAGTTCTGGCTAGGGGCAATCAGGCAAGAGAATGAAAGTAAGGGTATTTCAGTTAGAAAGAAGAAGTTCCAAATTGTCCTGTTTTGCAGATGACGATGAGTTGTATATTTAGAAAACCCCATGTCTCAGCCCCAAATCTCCCTTAAGTTGATAAGAAACTTCAGCAGAGTCTCAGGAGTACAAAATAAATGTGCAAAAATCAGCAAGCATTCTTATACGCCAGTAACAGACAAACAGAGAGCCAAATCAGAATGAACTTCATTCACAATGCTTCAAAGAGAATAAGAAACCTAGGAATCAACTTACAAGGATGTAAAGGACCTCTTCAAGGAGAACTACAAACCAACTGCCCAGTGAATAAAAGAGACACAAACAAATGAAGAAAAAACACCTTTTAAAAAACTCAGAAATGGTCCAAGGACAAACAGCACGTGAAGAAACATCTTTCGGCCAGGCTGCAATGGTTACACTTGTAATCCCAGCACTTGAGAGGCTGAGGCGGGCGGATGACTTGAGGTCAGGAGTTTGAGACCAGCCTGGCCAACATGTGAAACCCTATCTCTACTAAAAATACAAAAATTATCTGGGGCGGGTGTAGTGGCA